AGATACTTTAAAAGGTTGACAGACCCTGTTCTATATTAGACAGTGTCATAATATATTAATGCATACCTGTGAATACTGCAGCCTGTCTTAAATAATATTGTTCTATATTATGATATATTAATACATACTTGTGAATACTGCAGTCTCTGTCTTTGTGACGAGTACTGAGGATACTAAGACGCAGGAATCAACAATGTAAAGGTTTACTTAACACTGAGCAAGAAAACAACAAAGTGCAAGTACACGACATGACACTAACAATCGTACACAACACAACACTGAACAGTCCAGGGCTATATAGGGGTAGTAATGAGATGAGGTGCAGGTGCGCTGGAGGTGATCAGGGTGCGTTGGGTTTCCATTCCGGTGTTGCCGAGGTTGGTGCGCTCAGACCGGTGGCTCAGTAGACCGGCGAATCAGAGCGCCAGAGGGGAGCAATGGGAGGAGACGTGACAGTCTTAAAGAATATTGTCCTATATTATAATATATTAATACATAACTGTGAATACTGCAGCTTGTCTTAAAGAATAATATTATATATTATAATTGATTAATGCATACCTGTGTATACTGCAGCCTGTCTTAAAGAATATTGTTATATATTAATTCAATTCAATCTTTATTCTTTCAGATATTTCAAAGCTTGTTTGGAGAAGTGAGTTTCAGCACCATAAACACCTCATATTCTGACATGGTATCTAAAACTTTCATACTCATCATTATAGGGCAGATTATCATATTCTGATGTGGCATCTGTAACATTTGTACTCATCATTATTCATGATTATTCGTCATTGTAGCAACATCAGAATACATTTTAGAAGTGCATAGAGACGTGCTCACCTACACAACAATATGTTTATAGACATCATTACACATAAGTCACCATGTTGATCAGGAAGAAGCAGCAGGAGTTACAGTGGGGATGAGCTGGGAGTAGGAGAGGGACTCCATGGTGACTCTGAGGTTCCTAGCTGAGTGTGTGTGATAGATTCCAGATGAATAGAGATGGAAAGATCAGAGGAGGGTGGAGGATGAGGAGGAGTTTAAGGAACAATTTATGAATGTGTCATTTCTTAGTGACCTGAGGATTGTGGTGCGGTTTCGTCACCCTAGACCAGAGCTACCGTCCTGTAGGTTTTCGCTCCAATCCCAATCTAGTCCACCTAATTCTAATAGTTAACTGGTTGATAAGCTGAATCAGGTTAGTTACAACTGGGGTTGGTGTGAAAACCTACAGGAGTGTAGCTCTCCAGGAACAGGGTTGGAGTGGAAACCTACAGGAGTGTAGCTCTCCAGGAACAGGGTTGGAGAGCCCTACCCTTGACTGATGTGTTGCTCGACCTCTAGTTCTTACCATGATAAAATATATCCCTTGGTTATCGTTTTCTCCTTTAATCTTGTTCCTTGATTTCCTTTTGGTTCTTTGAATGTCTGAATCAGTTCTCCTTTGAGTTGGAGGCTGCATGTCACGGTTCAGACAGACGACCAGAGGACCACAATTGCGTCACACCAGAAAGTTTATTAAAACTTAAGGGAAAAGGGAAGTAGGGAGTGAGTGAAGGCTCCAGGGGTAACAGGGATCCCGTCCAATGTGCTGGGTCTGTGCCCCCCCCCCAGTGGCAGCGATGCGTCCTATGAAGCCGGTGGTGGGTGGTCCAGAAGTCCTGGGGGGGGGGGAACAGAACAACAGGGCTGA